CACGTCTGATACCATGTCTACTGATACTACTTACTCCTTAGTAGTGTTAGTAGACACTTTTAAGAAGCAGAAGTTTTTCTTTATGCTTTGTGTTTTCAAATCGCTGAAAATTTCTCAGCTTCAAGAAAAACCTGCCACTGCAAGGCCATTAATACACTGAGCAACTAAAAACCTAGATTATGGGTTATTATTTTTCAGAGTAAATAAGCTATCTTCTTTAGTACTATTCCTAATTTAGAAAAGATGTTGCATGTTCTTAGTAATCTTGATATTAAGTGCAACTCAAACATAGAAGCAAGGATATTGTCTATGTTTTATTTATGTTTTTGTATATTAGTCAAGATTAGTTAATTTATAGCAATGTTGTATTGATTTGAATTTGAATAAAGAAAGCAATAAACTAGTAAAATAGCAAAAGACAATGTATCCATTGTCATTGTAATAAAACTTACAGCAAAAGACAGATGTACCTGCATACCTCTATGTGCATGTGCTTAAATGCAGTGGAAAGGAAAAGAGCAAAAAGATACAAAGCACCATTTTATCCAAAAATATTTTATCGGTAAGATTTGCTGACACAACCTGAAGTTAGAAAAATATGCAGTTTTATAATTAAAAAAGTATTTTTTAAAGGGTGATTGTTATAGACATATAGTCCAAATGAAGGCATTTTTCAGAATATTCAGCTTGTCTGTTTTTCCATTGAATTTACAGTTGATCAAAGTCATGTAAGCACCACAGGGGCAAACCTGAACCACTCATTTGAGGAGCAGAAAGCAACACATTTCAAAGACTCCCATTCCGGGTAGAAGAAATGCAATTACTAAATTTTCTGAATTATTTATTTTAAAAAATTGCTAATCACCTCGTGTAGTGAAGAAAAAACAAATGTTTTGTCCTTCTTACACACAGCAAATCTGCTATAAAGGAAATTATCATTACCAGATTTTACTTTTTTTTTTTTTTTTTTTTTTTTTTTTTACACATTAAAGCAATAATTAATATCATTTAACCTGAGAAAAGACACAAGGAAGATTTAATTAAAGTTTCTGTTAAGATACATCAATAACCTACAATGCAGCCTGTATAAGGCCATTTAACAGTGCAATTGCTCCGTGTCCAGTGAATAAGACATCAGATTGGCCACAGGAAATCTGGACTGATTTTCTGCTTTGCCACAGACAACCCATGAACCCTCATCAGTCTATAGTTCATTCACTGATTCTAAAACAGGGATAATAGCCTAGTTCTTACTACTAGATGAACTTAACGAATAACTATAAATGGAGCAAGGTATAGAATACAGATAATATACCTAAAGGAGGCTGGTAATGACAGAATTTCAAAGCATCCTTAAAATTAGCTCAGTTTCAAGTAGACTTGCAGGTTTTCCCTTCTTAACTTGCTCTAGAAGGCAAAAGAAAAAATCAATTTCTTTTAGAACTAGTCCTTCATTTGCCTGCTGCATATTTGCCTCCTAACATTCTGGGAAACGAAAAAAGAAATTCACAAACTGTAAGAGAAATAATTGAGCTATCCATCATTTTTGAGCTATCCATCATTTCAAAACCCTCTAGGAAAAAAAAAAAAAAAAAAAGGGACCACAAAGCTTTTTTTCCTCCTTCTCTTTTTTTTTTCCTCTTTCTCCTCCTTTCCCCCCACCCCACACCTCTCCTCTTATTTTGTTTGTCTGGTTCCTCAAGGAAACACTAGCATAGAGAAGCACACACCATATTCAAGCTACAATACGCATCAATCTCACATATGTTCTCCTTTCCACTTCCACACTGAAAAGCAATATAACTGTACACATTCTATACATCAAGATACTCAGTGCAAAATCAGCTTAGTTCTGACTGTACAAGAATCTTCTTTAAAGAAGTATAACTATATATGCACACATAGATGCATATATATTTACAAAAATTACTTTTCTCCAGTCTTATAAGTTAAATTTCACTAGTATTTATCAAAGAAAAAAATTAATCAAAATTTATCAAAAAAGGGGGGACAATTTTAAATGGGGAGCAAACTGTACCTCTCTAAGAATGAGCTCAATGCTTTAAGGCAGTAACAGTAGCTTAAGCATAAGCCATCTCCTGCCCTATCCCTTTCCCCTGCTCGTGAAAGGGAGGCAGCAGAATGACAGGCACGCTGAGGCCAGTCAATGAAGTTTCCAAACCAGCACAGCTGGAAAGCCACCTCCACCTGGATTTAACCGATGTGCCAGATGGGCACCTGCAACATAAGGGGTTCCCACTTCTACATTGCACCTGCAATTTAAAATATGCAGTTTTTTCGAAGCCCAGAAATCTTTTCAAGCTGCAGTTAGAACTGCAAATTTGTGTATGAAGAAAGCTGCCCGGAAGTAGAGAGATTTTGCTTCAGAGGGGGAGATGCAGCATTTATGGGCTGCATGAGAACTGGGGCACGGCTTTGAGCAGCTGCAAGTAGACGTAAAATGCATCATTTCTTAGGACACTGACATTTTCCCATGCTTTTTAATTATTATTGTAAGCTAGGTGTAAATCCAGAACTTTTCTAGTGTATTTCTTATTTTGAACTTTATATTTACTTATTGTATCACTATTCAGAAATTCTAACTTTTATGACACTTAAGCACTTGCTTATATTAATAGAGACAACACATATTTTATGTACTCTATACTTACTTACTATAAAAGCAAAAAATTATGCTGGAAATCTGCAAATATATTATATTTTTATTTTATTAGTAACCTTAGAATATTCAGTCTGTCCTCCCAAACACAACTAACATAAATCCATGTTAAAACAAAAGGTTACTTATTGCAGCATTTGAGAAACCACACAGGAACCTGCAAGTTCTACCACTGTCACGGGGTATAACAAGAACCCTTGCATTTTGTGCAAATTCAAATTTTTCAATATGATTTGGTCATTTAAACTGTTTAAAGCATTTGTGAAGTACTCTAAAAACATTAACACAGTTCAAACTATAAACTTGTTTGAATAATTCTCACAAAAGAGATACAGAAGCTAGATGCACAGTAGAATAAAGAACAAAATTTAAAAAACAAACAAACAAACAAACAAACCCAAAAAGGTACACATACAGGATTACAAAGTAAGGATAAAACTGCAAGGTACTGCACTTTTGTGAGGTCACAAGGTACATACACAATTAATCCTCTGAATCAAGAAACATCTGATGGAGGACACAAGCAACTCAGCTGTCCAAAGTTATAAAATTCTGATACATGACAATCAGATGGAAACAATGGTAGTTAATATACTAAGAAATAAGTCAAATTTAGAGATGACACTGGAGCTTTTGCAGCCTAGAACAGAGAGAATTTGGTGAACAGCACTAGTCACTGAGTGCGAAGTTTTCACATATGTAAAAAGCTGTTTTCACTAAAGAATTGATCATCAGTAGCAACTAACCATATTCAAGTTTAGTGTATCAATGACTATATTTACAGTGCAGGCTTAACTTGTTATAGACACTTAAGAATTCATATATTTTAGATACATTTCATACACATATATGATGCAGTAATAATTCATAAGAAACACTTACTGGGTAATTTTTTTGGAGGGATGGAAGGATGGGTTCAGGTAGGGCTATAAAAAAAAAAAAAAGTTTAAAGTTGCTGTGATTCATATAATTCACAGGAAGCAACATCATATCAACTACACCAAAGGGCTGGACTGAAATTCCATGTTAGAAACATCTGCCCAGAAATTTGCTTTCATGCATTTTGTAAAATAAGTTATTCCCCAAATCTTTCTAATACTACTTGTTATCTATGGCAGAATAAGAAGTATATTGAGTTAAGGGAGGCTAAGATATTGCTATTTACAGAAGACAAGAAAAACTCTACATTAGCTGGCTACCCCCTGCCTTTTAAAATTCATGTTAATTCAAGGCCACAGAAAACTCACTCTAAAGATAAGTCAATCATAGTTTCACATAAACTCTCTTTTCTTTTCTAAATCATTTAATACAGTCTGATTACTTTCTGGACAAGCATATATTCGTTGGCTTCAACATTTTTTTGATGTTGAGAGTCTCCAAAAGTAAACCTGAACTACAGTTAAAATGCCCAACATCCTCAGTCAGTATTGCTAACAAAATTCCTATGAAAAAGTAGATATCATCTAATGCTGTTAGCTGGTCTGTTAAAAAGAATCCAGAATATAAAGTTCATATAGACACTAGAAATACTAGTCAATCATTCATGAAAGCCATACTGCATACTAAAAGTAACAAGACAAAGAACCATGGATGTAGACGTAGCACAAGACCAGGTGGTGCTACAGATACACAGACAGAAAAAAAATCCCCAAACATTCACATCCCAGTAAACTCTTACAGAAGCTACAAAATTGTTAGATCATCCCTAGTAGGAAGGTTTAAATATCAGCATGTTTTCAGCACTTCACCAGCATGTTTTTTAAACATAATTGGTCTATACCATTCACTAGGGAAAATGTAATTATGTTCAATGTGGGAGCTTGCCATGGCATTTAATTCACCTTTGAATCAAGGTCTCACAGACAAAGAGATGTTCAAGCATCTTTTTTTCTATAGGGACAAAATTCTCAGAACATGCTTGGGATATTTGCAAAGGGTATACTATATTAACTAGCATGAGTGCTAATAATATGATCACAGCTGTTTTAATAATCATTTTTGTTTGTGGGTGTTTGACGATATGAAGGAATATCTTATTTCAAAATCTTGAATATTTTCCAATTATCCACTTTACTGAAAGAACAGGCAAAAAAAATCTGAGCAGTATGAATAATGAAGATATTTTACATCTACCAGGTGCATTAAGACAATAGAGTTAAGGGGAAAAAATTACCACTAGTATTTACCATCTGAATTTTTCTTTTCCTACTGTACAAGATAGTTAGACCTGTTACCTGGAGGAAAGTTCATGAACAATACATTGATGTATCTACAAAATAAACTCAAGCCACACTAACCTTAGGTCAAAAAGCTTCCACACTAGTCTGATAAGAATACTGAAATAGATTAAGTAGTACAGAAATTTGCCTAATGAAGAGAGATCATATTTATTGCTAAAAGAAAGCAGTTATTCCTAACTGTTTTGCTGCCCAGTACCACCAACAAAAGTCCTAATAGCAAATTCTACGATTAGGACACAAGCGGCTTTCAGTAGTATCATATACAAGTAGCAGGAGTGAGAAAAAGATTTAAAACTTAAGGAAAGGCATATTCCAACACTTGGCATCAGAGAGTCATTAACATCACTGCAAGCCTATACATTTATATCTGCTTGTGTCTCCCGCTCTCTTCTTTTTGTGCGTTACTTTCATGCACAGCTCAGTAATTGGCTATTCCTGACAGCACCCAGCATCTAATACAGAAAATGCCTTACTCCCAGTCTCCAGATTTACTATAATACCCTGAAAATATACTTTGAAAATAAATTTCCAAATGAAAAGGCCTACTTCCACTAAAAATCTTAATAGCGGCAGTATCAAATACTTATCAAGCCACAGTTGAGATGGTCAGGAATTGCTAGACTGTTAGGAACTCTTCGTCTCTTGCATGTGCTTCACACTTGCAGAGCAATCTGCACCCAGTAGCTTTCACCAGTTTCACTCCTGTATCTAATAATCACTGTAACCATTTTATTTTTATGTGGATGTCATTTTATCTCTTCCAATCAACTATTCATTTCTTATTGTTGTTAAGAATCTATATTAAAGATCTAGCACCTACAATATCATTTCAGAGTTGTGGTAACAGCCATTTTTTATTTCTTCTTTTCACAGAAAAAAATCTGAAACAAACACTATCAAAGGAAATGCAGAGAAAGGATGCACTAACTTGCACTCTGCTATCCTCATGACTGGTACATGAGAGATACGCTTACACTACACACATCAAAGAACTCAGAAGTAGCTCAGCCAACTAGATCTCACACATACAAACTGCCTTTCTAGTTCCTATAACACCGATACAGTCCAGCTGAAAGAAAACTATCAGCTGGAGCCAGCTGTCATAAAAGCTTTCAATCCTAATACAGAGTGGGTGCAGCATGATCTTGGAGCTACTAAATAGTCGGCTACCCACTCTACAGTGGGTATCTATATTCCAGGCCAAACAAGCTGTCAAAGGAGCTAAACAGAATCGTTGGTGCTTCATCCAAATAACCAAAACAAACAAAAACACTACACGGACTGACAAAAGGAAAAAGCCAAAATGAAGACTTATACAGTTTGTCTACCTTATCTACAGATGTGATCACAAAATACTAAGAATACACTGTTTCTAAAATAAATACATCAAACAAGAACAACCAGCATGTTACAAAAAAATGAAGAACGTATATAAGCAGCAAAATACCAAGCCTATATGAGCTGACAGGAATTAAGGAAATATTTCTGCAGGCATGTTACTGCATAAGACATGTACCTCAGGGGTTATGGCCAACCCTTCTGAAATCACCCATCTCCTAATAAATGAACACCTCATACTGACCTAAATGGTCTCTTATTCAATTCCTTAGATCTTAAATAAGAATTGCAATTTAAAAGTACAAACACAGATTTCTCTAATAACAGAGACTAACAGGGAGAAACTCATTTCAGTCTATTCTTGAGCAACACTTCTGGACCACACAGCTTCCTTACCTCTACAAGAAACTCCTGACAAAAGCTCACTGTTTTAACGTATTAAAGTCACAACATGAGATGCTGCCAGTGGCAGCCAAATATTCCAGCTTCTTATTGGACAGTCATTTCACAGCAGACAGTAATCAGAAAAATATCCTAGCTACACATGCAGTCTTGCACATATATATGCCCCATGATTCATCTTTGATTATCAAAACAGCGAACTAGCATCCCACAGCATTTGTCATGCCTTCTATTTTCTTGGAAGTTCCCAAGTAAAAGAAACTTGTAATAGTGATGTTTAGCTTTTTCCCTTGGAATAACTAAATTTTTTTACCCACTGTACAGTGGATATCCAACAATTTTTTTTTTAAATTAAAACAAGAGCTTGAGTTTATTTTATATTTACACAACATTCTGCAGTTAACACTGAGTTTCTTTTTTTCTTTTAAACTTGCAATTCTGACTCCAGAAAAAACATCCATTTGTTAAACAAAAATACACCATTAGGGGAATAAAGGCAGCACTTCATTTTCAGATTTTTCTGTGTGTAAAATGATTCCTGATGATGTTTAATTTGAAAAGCTAGACTAATACAAACTTAAAAAAACAAAAGTTTCAGAAGACAAACATACTTACTCTGTAAATAGTGCAAAACCATCAACACAAGACTGTAGCTGCTCAAAGTACCACGACTGGCATCATTTATATCATGGAAACTTGCCCACTTCTTCACAACCAGTACTAATGGACGAACTCGATTCTCAACTGTAAATACAACAAGTATTTATAAAAAACGTACAATAACTAGAGAGTGCTCAAATTTTTATTCCCACTTGATCAGTGACACTCATTTTGTGCTCTAAAGTTACCTCTTTTTAGACTTTACCTCTTCATAGACCATTTATAGATTTTGCCTAATTATCCTACAACTACCATCCATTATATAAAAAACACTTTTCAAATTAGATTTATTTTTTATAAAATATCTTTTGAGTAGGAAGAGCCACAGATGCGCTACAAAATGGCCATGTCAGGTAGCTCTCAGAGGAGACAAAACTGCATGTTCACTCAATGGAACAGTTCCTTCTAGTTCATTGTACTAATTTCCTGAATTTAAATGCTTTCAGGACACACCAAATCTAAGTTTTTTGTTTGTTTGTTTGAGATTATATAAGCTTTGAGAATGCAGAAAAGAATTCTTCCAATTGGAGAATACAGAGCTCATGCTTAATTTTCCCTCAGGGAAAATGAAAGCAGTAAACACGGCATCCAAACATTAATTCTAAAATTGCTTGGTCCTCAGCAGCTTCTGATGAAGCTGATGAAACTCATCTAACAGATGAGTTCTATTAGATAAAATATCACATTAGATCAAGTTATCCATTTCATCATGAAAGACATCAATATAGTCACATTCCAGTTTTGATCTTTAGAGTCACAGGAGAATTGTAAAGCCTCCTGCACAAAGGTTAACACATTTTAGGAGATATCACTAACCATAATCTCCTACTGAGCTCACAACATACTTCACTGATTATTTCCAGGTATGTGGAAGTTAATCCTCAAACCACTGAGCTACCTTGCTACGGACTAGCTAATCCTGCAACTTGGAGCACCTTTTTTTTTTTTACCTGCCATTTTTATGCAAAGTTTTGTATGCTGCACATCAAGACAGGAACCTGTCAGCTGGCAACTGTTTCATCCAGGACAAGAGATACTTTCCATAGCAGTGTCTCCCTAATGCTGCTGTTTGGGAAATTCCATCAAAGAAGCTGCCTCCTACAACCTATTTACAATGGTTCAGTAGACATGTCCCTGAACAGCACGCTCTTCTTGTAGATTCCAACTTAAATCTAGAAGACCTCTTAAAAACAAAACTCCTTGTGACCAGTCACCTGATGCTCTCCATCATTCACTACTGGCTGGATTAAAAATTATGATTGTTACTAAGTAAAATGCATAATAGTATACAGAAAATAACAATAACATTCTCACTAATAGAAGCATAACTTTTTTCACGAGACAAATACAAATAGGCTCAAATTATAAGATGGATTTTGCTCTGAGAAATGCATTTACATTTCACAATAGAAAGGATTTCCTTTTAAACTCATTCTGAGATCAAGCTGCGTCTGCTTGCATTCATCATTAATATATAACAAAATTAGTAAGTAACACTGCCACTAAGTTTTCTTCCCAACATTTTCCAACAGTTAACAATCTAATCCCTCAAGAAAATGCATAGTAATATCATTTGTTCAAAGCCACAAATTTCCAGCTTGCCCTGTAACTGAAAAATTCCACCTACGAATTCCAGACATGCCTCCTTAGATGGCCAACAAATAACACAAAAACAATAGATTCCAGCTATTAGCCCTACTTAATCTACCTACATTTTCTCTTTCTGTGAACCTTCTGCTCCACTTAAGTTATTTAAACTTCGATCTCCTCTACCACACCTGATGCACCAATATAGAAGGGCTGGCTTGGAAAAGACAGAAAAATATCTGTATACTCTATTTATAAACATTTTTATCATGCGCACAAAGTTAATCAGTCCCTTGTTTGCTTGAGCATCTAATTACATAGAGTCATAGAATGCTTAAGGTTGGAAGGGACCTCTAGAGGTCATCTAGTCCAACCCTCTCTGTGCATCTCACGAGCTGAGGACACGCTCAAAAATCAGGTAGAGATATAGTCTGGTTGTTTTTAATCCATGATACAAAAATATCTGTATACCTTATACAAGAGAGCTTTTTCCCCTCCCCACCCCTTGCCTGTAGGGTCAAGCCCTTCAGACATGTAAATTTTAAGTTAGTAGGCTAACACTTTTAATGCCAGCTGTCCTGGTTCATGACTTTTAAAAGTATGTAAAGAGACTAGATGTCTGACAATAGTTTTCATCTGGTTTTATTTGCCTGAAGTCATATGAGAGTTTTGTTATACAAAAGAAGAATGACAGACTACGTTTGATAAAGATTGCCTATTTATGAAGGTCTTGCACCATGGAGGAGATTATCTTTTTAATCAAAAGTCTCTCCCTTAGTAACTCCCTCCTCGACCTCAAGAAAAGAGAAGCATTTAGTACTATCATCAGGAGATAATAATTTTGAACGAGCATATTAGGGAGCCTGCAAACGCTATAAAGGTGAGCGCCAGGACAAAAAAATAAGAAACTAAGCTGGGCCACATGGACCCCTTCCACTGCCTGTTTCACATCTCTATTTCTGCCTGTCCACAGTGATTTGCTGAGAGAAATAAGTGTCAAAACATGGAAACCAGTGGCAGAAGCTGGGAACGATGTTAACATTAGACTTAGTAAAGTGACCCCATGCCTGTAGTTGTGAATGACAAAGACTATTTTTCTATACTTCTTTGAGCTTAGAAGGAAATCTCTGTCTAGGTTAGTGCCTTTCTGGGTATATGAGGAAATTAAGAGCTAAACAACTTTTATAGGACAAGATGCCCATGAATATGGGACATTGTTAAACTACAGTCCTAACTGTTTGTCAAAAGTAGCTAGCAAGTAGAACTTGTACCAATACTTTCCTACCCTATAATGGAAGGAATTCATATACGCAAGAACTCAAGGTGCTGGAAAGCAGAAAAAACGCAGGTGGCCAAAAGGCACCAGCGCAAGGTCTGCTCCTTATACACTTACCTAAACAAGAAAACAAACAAAAAAACCCACAACTTATCTCAGAGAGTGGTTTTTTTTTTTTTTTTTTACTTCCCTTTTATAAATCTGTTTCATGATATCCCACTGAAATGAAGGGACACAATGCATTTTTCTTTTAGGGTTAGTCTGAAAACTAAATTTGTTATTTCAGATTTTCCAATGAAAGATTGTATTACAAGAAAGAACCTCAGCTAGCTATCAAGTACACATACCTATCAGTAGCTGTAGGAGAGGGGAAAAAAAATAACACAAACAAACCCTAAATGGTATCACATAATAATCATGGGTAATGTAATATACAAATATATTATAATGCAATAATGTATTTGGTTCTGCTCCTCTTCCCCATCTCATTATCTGCAGAAGACTGAAGCAGTCATTGTAATAAGTGTGGACCTTAACATGAGGATACTTTATTATCTTCTGAATATTATAATATTCATTTAAAAACATAGTGAGCTAATGTTTTTCTCCATACATTCAAAGCAACAAGAAATTACCTTAGATCTATCTAATAGAGCTATCTAATTAGGTACTATACCTAGTAACTTAATATAATAAGTTCAAATGAATTTGCTAGCCTATTAAGACTAAAACACAAGCAGGCAAAAAAAAAAATCAAGAAATAAGAAAATATTAAAAACCTACTGTATGCATAGCTTCTCAGAAGGAATGTATTTCTTATTCCTACAATATTATTTACATTCAAGTCAAAGTCCACACAGCTGTAGAGAAATAGAAAAAAGAACCAAATGTCATCACATTCAGTTTCAGAATATTTACTACCTATTAGCAAGAGAAGTAAAGAAGTGCAACTGTAAAGTAATATTCTAAGATTTGCCTTCCTCAAACAGGAAGAGTTTTAAGACTATAGCTTCCATTTTGGATCTACATACAGTAAAATTATGGACTTGAATTCCATTGTTAACAAAATGTGGTTGCTGATTTATATAAAGGATTCAAGTTGAACTGAGTTTACACCTTAGGACAACTGAATTGCTGTATTTTTAAACAAATGTTTTTCCAAGTTAGTTTTCAAATACATGATTCACTATTGATAGCACGTTTTATAAAACCTCTTTTGATATCAGGCAGGATTCTGAGGTTTTAGTTCAGCTTTTCACACCAATAATCTGAGAAAGAGAACTGACATATATAATGCTCAGAATATAAGAATCTCCTTACACATTTTAAATTTAACTACTCTTATCCATGAGATATTCCAATTTAACAACACATTTCAGTACCCCTACTTCAGTTCTGCAGTGATGATTAGAGACAAGCAACAAGCACTTTGACTATAAATTTATTAGTAAACAGAGCATTTTTTGTAAAAGTCAACTATTTCAGAGTTTGTAATTTTAGTAATTGTTTAATATTTTAATAACAAACAAGAACATAGTAAACTATTATTACTTGCTTTAACTTACCATTCCAATAATTTCATATTGCACATGCAGCTTAAATACAGTCCTCAAGATACTATATTCAAAATTTATGATCAATAAATTACAACATTTAACTTGCAAAAAGAATGGCCTCATTGATAAGACAGCAGGGATTTGCTATGTACAGCTATACATAGAGAGAATAGATTTTTGAATTAGCTACACTAAAATATCCTTTGCATCAAAAATATTATACAATTTAAAGCATGAATTAAACATGACTTAGATATTCTGAGAGGGTATAAACAATAACAGAGGAAAAAAAATAAACTTGAGCTATGGCTTGATAGTTGTTAAACTATGTACAAACACCAGTAAGAACATTAGTTATAGGTGCAAATATAGTAAAGAAAATTAACTGGAATTGCATGTGCTGCCTGACAACTCCATTTGGCATGATTACATTTTAGAAGGTGTTGATTAAACAAGTTTTATCATAGTTCTGTTGTACTTCAATATGCACACTTGATAAGTGTTGCAGTTATGCCAACTGAAAAAGGATTTGTGATGTTTTGGCTCAAGTTCTACCAAAGGAATAATGGGGTGGGGAAGTCACTGCACATCAAATGCAGCAGAACAGAAAGCTTTTACATCCTCTACACTATGGAATTGTTTTTAAACAAAGACCTAATACCAGCCCTGCTACCAGTTAGAATTATTTCCTGGGAAAGACATCAAAAAAATAGGGATAATAAATCTTTAAGTGTCAGTAATTTTCCTTTAAGGTTAGAACACTAAGAAGCCTCCAAGATCAAAAAGGAGGCCAAACAAAGCCATACTGGACTGCAGGTAAATGAAAGACTATATGGGAAAACCCTAAAGAGGGCTACTTACCTAGGAGATAAGGACTATATTATATATTATAGGACTACACTGCATAAAGTTTTGAACCTTTATTCTTTGTTTATTAAAAAAAAAAAAAAACACTCAGGATGATTTCCACAAGATTACAATTATGCAGTTCTCTATTCTAGTGCACCTCTCACAATTGTTTTCACATCTTTGCCTATGAAGTATGAGTACAATAACATGCAATACATCCACTTCTTTCCAATTACTTTCTCCCCAAAAACAAAAGGCCACTAAAACAGTGCCTATGCTGTGAACTGCATGTTATACTACACATTGTTAAAACCCTGAACATCTCCCTAGAAAAAAGAATATAGTCTAAAATGAATGTTTGCACATTTAAGCAAGAAAATAATGTTATTACAAAAAAATATGGTTTGTTTTATGGTGTTTATACAATACAAAAGCTGTAAGTTATTTCTCAAGTAGCTCAGTATTCAGGATGTTTCCACAGAAAGCTAAAACACCTTTCACAGCAGTTTTCTTCCCATCTTTATCTCCTGCAAGGAAGTTTTGGCTACACCAAAACTGACCACAGAAATACACCAAATAATGCTACTAATTCACATCATAGAAACTCCCAAACACAAAAGCTGTGGCAAGCTACCAGGAAGGTAAACTCATGACCTCTGCATATTAGTTACACAAATCTGCAATCTCTCTGCAGTACAAGGTGAAAGAACAAACCATGACTTCAATGGAAGTACTCACATGCACAGTACATAACTATTTTCCTGTAAGGAAGGCTAAGAATTGATGTTGAACAGTCTACTTGCCTGACTTTATCCCTGAACTTCACTATTGGCACTTTTGCTCGAATCAGCTGAGGACGCTCAATGTAGCTTGCTGAAAGGGAGAAAATACCCAATCAAGTCCCATACCAAATTCTGATATTAAACCAAAAACAATTCAAAAAAGAAAACCTCAGCAACAAAAGCGATTCACCCGACTCCCAAAACAGAGTGAAGTCAAATTCACTGTTGATACTAGTAACACAAAAAGCATTCCTCAAAGTGTTCTGATAAACTAAGTAACCTTTAGCAATCGGCAACAAAAATACAATACTGTATACTGTGTAACAACAACAACAACAACAATAATAATGAAAGCATAAAATGCTAGAGTGAAGCATTACTGAAGGATTTTAAGAATATTCAGGAATTTTAAACACAAGGAGCCCAGTTCTACACTGTCTTCACTGAGCAGTTGTTGTAATTCAATTCCTGAATAATTATACTCACAGTTCAAAAGGTAGGGAAGACCAGACACATCCTAAACGGCCAGATACCCATGCCTGGCATTGTGAACACATGATCATCTGCTTACTTTTTAATAATGTCTTGTGCTTACAGTTTAAATGATGTATTTTACTGATAAAATATGGACCCCTTACTGTATTCTCACTACACAGTTTAGGCTTAAAGTTTCCTTTGCAAACTCTTTGATAACTTACAAAAAATACCTAACAAGAAAGATGTTTCCTATTGTATTAGCACAGAAAACAAGGCATCAGACTTGCAGCAATGGTGTCACTTTCAATTAAAGACAGGATAAACTCCATTTGTCTTTTGCTTTAATAGAGATAGGACATGTAAGAGATATAGAATCATATGACTGCATCTCAGCTGACCAACCTCACAGCACAGACATGCAGACTTAGTGCCAGGCCACCCAACTCAAAAGTTATAAGGTCCTGCCAGACTCAGGCACTTCCCCCAAATGCATCTTTGCACTGAGCTCCCCAAAACTCCTGCAGCAGCCATATTATCTGTGATTTTGTAATTCTTCACAAAATAAATGGCATTTGACCACAATCCTTAACAAAAAATGTACCTAAAAAGATGACAGAAGGAGTGAGAGAAAAAGCAGAGTCCACAGTTTCACAGTATGAATTTGGCCAGCACCACAGTTTGAGTAACTTAAAACAAAAAATGTAGAGCCACTTGAATTTGGCCATATTTAACATCACCCATTTTTTTTCTCATTTGAGGAAATTAAGCTAAAATGAGTGAGCATGACCAAGGTAGAAGTAGTGTAGATTATGAAATAATAATAGTAATAATAAGCAATAGTTTTTCCTTTTGGGAAGAAAAGGATGCATTTCTTTCTCTAAGGTTCAGTTGATTAAGCAGTGCATTTGGGTGACAATTGAATATTACACTTCAAATCTGTCGCTAGGAACTTTTTATCTTTGAGTCTTTCTAGAAGTGTGTTATGGAGATGCATGTTTGGTTGGTTTTGCCCTTTTGTAATCCTTTATCTAAATTTGATTTCACTGTGTGATCCTAGAGTAACATGCAGCAATCTGGCAATCAAAGGAAAGGGATAATGTCACTAGCTCAAATAACATTCTTCTCAAAAGCCAATTATGATATTAATCCACATTTACTGACTGCAGAACCTAGCACAACTCAGTACAAGTGACCCCCTCCCTAGCTGCACCCACAGGGGCATCTAAAACACCCTGCTCCAGCATCTCAGAACACTATTTGTAGTGAAATAGTGTGGCTATTTGTAGTGAAAAAGAGCATAATCACTTCAAAGAAAACTGAACACTTTTACATAAAACCCATTCGTGCATAATTTCAGATGAAACATCTTAAATCTCTTCTTTTCTCAAAAAAGTGCTACTGTACAAAATATTAATCCCAAACATGGTAGACGTCAAAGGTTTCTAGCAACCTGCACACACAGTCTAGTCTTGTCTTACCACAGAGGAAGATGAAGCTTTTAAGAAGCATATATAGAAAAAATTTCTCCCAAGTTTCTAAACCGTACTTTCTCTCATTCTAAAATTTTATTTGTCTAAATAAGCTTTAATCAAAGTGATCAGCATACTTATTTGTTTCAGGATTATTAAACTTCAGCATAGTCAAGCCATAGCTTGCAAATGGAACAAACCATATGAAAAGACCCATAAGCAAAAACATTTCTATTTTGAAACATTTGAAAATATTTCTTTGCAAGTAAAACAATACTAAGCAACTTTCGGCTATGAATTCTAGCCACAAAGCATTCATACTACAATGGAGGACAAAAAAGAGGGAGATTAGGAATAAGAGTCCCATGCCCTTAAAGTTGTTAGAATTACAGAAAGATGATCTACAATGTAGATAACACAACTGATGGAGTCACACAGGAGCTGCAAGATCAATAATGTTTTGTCCTGTCTCACCTTCTGCAGAAGGTTTCTCAAGAATATTTGACCAAAAAAAACTCGGGAAAAGTACTTGCTTTCCTAATTCCCTCTTGTCCTGCATCAGACATGGACCATGACACAAAAAAACCCATCAGGAATCATTCCCAAAACAGTGAGGTCTTTCTGTTTCCCAGCACACAAACTTGATTTTATCTAAAGTCATCTCCAAGAACGTAGTGTCTTGAAGAAAGAAAAGATGGTCGTCATTTATTTAGGGGCCTGAAAGGGACATCTAAAAGCACAGTGACTTTATCACTGTGCTCCCCAGAAAGTATTGGAATGACTTGTATCCTATGCAAGCTAGACTAAGTTCTAGGTTGCTTATGCGAACAACTGTATACAATGGCAGTAAGTCATTAAATATCAGATGTCTATATTGAAATGGATACATCAGGCTCTTCTCAAATGAGCTGTCAAAATCTAGGTGCAAACACCTCCCAGTGAAGTTTTGATGTTTTGAAACCTGCACTGAAATTTATGGTTTCTTCCTCTTACCATTACAGGACAATTCAGAGCAGCAACAAAAGAAGCTGCATCAAAGAATATATCAAGCCTGAAAACTAAGCAGACAAAATCATTGATATAAAAGAACCTGTTATCTATTAATAATTCAAAGGATGGTACAAAAACCTCTGAAGTAGGGGGTTTTCACAAGAACAGTCCTTATGAATTCTTTATCTAAAGGGAGTCTAAATAACTTATAAGAACCATAGTTCAGACCTGTTTCTCCTATATGTGCAGGTACCAATATCTCTTTCAGTGGATACCCAAGTTAACTATTTCGCAAGTATCAAGATCCATAAGAAATTTCTCCACAGTCTATTGTGAGTGACATCCAAGGAAATAACAGTTCACTAGCAGAGGTTACCAAACAGAAATCCACTTTTGAATTATGGACCACAATTAGAAAAAAAGAAAAAAAATCATTTTTGATGCTACCCATTTTGTTTAAATCTGATAGCTTGCAGGGTATCCCTTAGGTCGTTTTAATTATCCACCAGATTAACCATACAAAATAAGAAGTATTACTATGATCAACTTTTCTGAAGTCGGGGGAAAAGACAGTTAAGATTAGAAACTAGACAACATGAAAGTACACAGGTCATTAAAACTGAAGGTCAACACTACTTTTATAAAAAAAAAAAAAAAAAAAAAAAGGAAAGTCTCTTAAGCCTTAGAATAAGCAGCAAACATGCATACCAACACATTCCTCAGTCAACATATTTTATGTTACTTTTCCCAAATTATTTGATTTAGATCTAAAGTACTTAGCAGACATTCAGAGATCTTAGAACTCTGAAGCTAGCCCCCAGCCGCTCAGCAGAAAGGTTGCCCTTGCCTTCTCCTATCACAATTTTATCAGGGTAACAGTTTTCAGGACAAAAATTATTTAACATATACTATGGAAATGTCCGGTTTTGCTTTTTCAACATGGTAGGTAAAAACCTAAATGAGTTTTAAAAAAAAAAAAAAAAAAAAAAAGGTTGGTCTTGCATCTAAAAGAATTAGATGTTCCTTGTTACTCTGTGCTTTTTCCATCTGTGTAATTAAGGTATTGCACAATTTTCAAAGAGTATACTGGGTTAAAAGGTTTATAAAGTCAAATTTGTATTTGCAATAACAAATAGCACAGGAGCCACAGTTCATAGCTACTATTAGTGCAAAATATATATTATTAAATCCAAGGATTTGACTATTTCTTATTTTAGAATCAAGCACCTGATTAAAGCACATACCTTTTTTAAACAGTTTAAATAGTTGCCAAATTTAAAGTGCTCACGTTCCAGAGAGTGCACCACGCAAATAGACTTCAAATATATTTAAGTTACTTACTGGTTCTTTAACTAACAGGCATAGATCACCATCACTGCTACGAGTGCCAAAGCCATTCAGTGAGGATCCAACCAAAACGAGTCTGCTCTCTGTAACAAGAGAACCACAGGAGAAAAACTGATGGAAGTATCTTCTTTTGGAAAGAAGGGAAAACAAGGAATGTCAAGTACATTCAAACTGATAACAAATGGTCAAATTCAAAACATACGTGGAAAAATTCGCTGAATTTCCCTCTGGAGTTCTGTTCTGCAGAGTTCTTTTCTGTTCAAGTCACAGGTCTGTTGCTGACATGCTTGGAACAACTCCAAAACCTGCTGACTTAACTTGACACATACATTCAAAAAAGTAAGGAGCAGTACAAGATTTTCTCTTAAGAGAAACGCAATTATACAAAAAATAAATAAAAAAAGGCATTGCATTAACAACAAATAAATAGCAACATTGTTTCCCATAATCTATTTTCTTGATATTTTATCCTACTTAAATACATATTGCACACCTCCCCACACAAAATTTCTACAGTTTCTATTATTTTGTTCAATCATAGAAAATATATCTATCCAAATAAAATAAGCTTTGCCCCATTAGCATTTGCCACTTTTCAGGGAACAAGCAGTGAAAGATCATAGACATTTTTCGCCAGTATTAAAGTCACTAGTTTGAGTAACTATAATAGGCATAAAAATACAGATTAAAAACTGATTTAAGATAGCTTTTTTTCTTTTTTTATTTTTTTTACTTTTTTTTTTTTATTTCAACCTCACTCAAATAATCAAAGTAATAGTCAGATCTTTGGTGCAGGCAGGTATTAATTGTCTCTTCTTTAATGTCAATATCTCTATACACTATAATCAGCCGACAAAAACCCTATCATGTTGATGCAAAATGAAATATAAAAAATGATTTGCTGCAATCCTTTTTTTTAAAAAGACACAGTTCCGATTCCATTGGCCACTTGAAGACATCCTCTTCTGCATATACACATATGAACCATAACTTTTCTCTCCTTCGGATACATTGCTATTCCTTACAAATAAGGCACAGCAGCAGAGACTTAATGACCCCATTAAAATTTCTGTTGTCTTCCACAGCATCACAAATCTCACCTCCTCACCAGGGCAACATAAAGCACAGGCATACATAAGTGTTACCTTATCTTTGGCCACAGGGAGCGTGATCTCTACAGGGTCTGAAAACGAAGTGTCTGGCAGCAGAGGGGCATGTTCAGTTAAACTGGGAGCATAACGCGCATGGAACAGTTGAGATGGAGTGGATCCTGGGAAGGAGTATCTACGTTCTTCTACTAAAGGCACTGTTCGGTTAGCTACAGTTGTTTCGCAATGAGGTGAATAAAACCGCAGCCGTTTAACGTCGTATGGAAGATTCTGCTGACTTAGTCTCCTACAAAATAAAACAAAAACAATTCTTCTAAGCTTACTAAGCTCCTATTTATGATTAAAGCATACTTGCTAAAAAGTACAAAATACTCGTGATTAATTACTGTGACTATTTCACTAAGACGAAGCATTCTATAGAATCAAAAGGCATGCCCCATCCTAGATACTAGGTGAAATAAATCTGGACTGGAAAATGCAAGAGAATATACAACTGCAAAAGTACAGCTCTCCTTGAAGTGGACTGATGCAAACTGCTTAACAAGAGGATTTATATTAATCAGTTGAAAACAAATGGCAAGTCCAGTCAAGTAGAACAGCTAAAAAAGATAAAAACTGGTTATGCTATATTTGTGACCATATATTCTTAAAACAAACAAACAACAACAAAAAAAAGCCACACACACACCCACACAGACTAAGTATATATATTTTTAGAACCAAAATCAACAGAAGTGCAATGAGAAGTTTTGTGAGTTCCGAATACCCAGTGATAAACAAGAAACTCAGCAGTGGGGAAATAAAAATAAAAGAAAAAAAACTTACCACAATAGCCATTCAAAATGTAGCATTTGTCTGTGTAGGCTTAGATTGTACAGACAGTAAAATGTGTAATCTGGGCAAAAAAGAATCACTATTCATTTGACAAATCAAACTAATGATTGTATTAAGGTATGTAGGTCAAAAACCTAATATCTCATTTTCAAACAAACTCTATCCCCACATTAATTCATTAGTCACAGAAATTCATATGTACTTTAAAAAAAGTTTGTGATCTTATGGATGGCCCCTTGGCATCCAAATCCTTCCTTAATAAAGGGTTACACTGAAAGGTGAAGTGGTTGAATTTAGAACTTCCCATGTGAAAAAAACAAATTTGAAAAAAATAAAACTTCATATAATTAAGAAGTACAGGAGAAATATCTAGTCCATCATCAGAAATATATCACAATTCCCTCAAAACACCAAATGAGCTTTTTTACTCTCAATTTGGTTTATCAACAAGAAAACATTCAACACATTGATATAAACCTTCTATCAGTCAAGCATACATAGATTAGGACCTACTGCAATATTAAAACACAACAAGCCTGTTCTGCTACAACTGTTGCAAGAGAAAAAGTTTATTAAATGAATAAATTTATCAAAAACAAGTAAAAGAACACTACAAAGTAGCATAACATGAATTGTGGACTACATCAGAAAGGCTTTATTCACTGTTCTTAGAAGCTCCATCAAAATTCAAGTCACACAAGAAGCCTGCAATATATAGCCTATGTCATGTATTATGATCAGAATTAGTTATTCATTAGCTAATTATTACACAAAGTTAACTATACACACACTAAAGAACTTACTTTCTTCTTCGGAATGACGTTGGGGCAGCAGATGTATGTACTGAACTAACATTTCCATAAATCAGTGGCTGAGATGTAACAGTTGGAAGAGTTGCAAGGTTCCCACTCAGAGTCCTAGAAAGACTACAGTCCATAATTATTATTCATACAATATCCAAGAAAGTTTTTTTTTTAGTTGATTTGTATTTACTGAAGAAAAGCAAACTTTAAGTCCTATCATTCCCCAGTGAGCATACACAACTGAATTTGTTAAAACTAACAAACTGTTGTAAAAATTAACTAGTTAGTAAACTAGTTAACTAATGAAATAGTATCTCATGCATTACACACACAAGCGTGAAAACTTGCAGATCGCTAACAGAGGCGAAATAGTGTTTTGTTTGTTTGTTTTTTGAAGACACACAAGATATTTTCTTTGGATTTCAAGTTTTATGCAATATAATTTTTAAAATACTGACAATAATTTTCCATAAAGAAAAATACTTCTTTCCGAAGACAGCTGTCTTTTACAAACCTCTGCACCCAATCAATTCTTATTATACTTACGCTGCATTCTGGAAGTTAAACTGAGCATCAGTAATTTGCTGGTGAGAGAGAAGAGTAGATGGTATGTTCAGAGGAAGCTTATTGAAGAAGGCACTGTGTTGCTGATCTTTTGGAGGGAAGGGTGGATGACCCAAGTTGGAGAAATTTGGGAACATGCTCTTCTTTACTGAAAGCAAACATGCATCCTTTTACCTAACCAAAAACATATTTAAAAAAAGAAAATATATCAGGCAACAAAATAACAATTAGTTATCTTTTAAATTTTGGGGTTAAGGATGCTATAACCTAAAATCTATTTCTATAAATTGTGGAGTGGTTGTGGACATGCATAACCTTTCAGGTTATGCGGAAAGAAAATACTACGTTGTTTAAGTTTTACTACTTATTAATTTATTCACTTACTTTAAAAAAAAGTTAATTTTGCTCAAAAATCTCTCAATTGTAGCTTTTACTTTAGGAGAGTTATGGAAAACAATGTTCGTTGTTTCAAATAAAATTAGTATTTTAATAGAGTATGTTTTATGCTCCAAAAACTCCCCCAAGATGCTCACAATGTACCTGAAGAAACACTTGACTACACCACAAGAACATGATACAGCTGATCAAAAACTGCAAGCAAAATTAGTTTATTTTCATAGTATGATAGGCAAATAGGCAGCTAAAGGATTAAAGTTATTTGAAAGTAATCTTCTCACATTTTAAGAATATCACGTTAGTAATGTAGTTTTGTGTGTATGCCTGTAGAATGGACAGCCTTTGACAGTAAGTCTACGTTTTTATCTCTTAATTTTAAAATTGATTCTGACATAACTGATGACTTGATCTTGCATCACTATATATTAGCAGAAAAAATAAATGAAAAAAAATCTGCCTCTACTGAAGTAGAATGATATGGTATTATATATAGTATTCCTGACTTGAAACTCAACTTCAGACGTGAAATTTATTTCCTACATATATCTGGCAATTCCAGAACTCTCACAAAATCCAGCTACCCATCCTGTATAAATCTCTTAGCTGCAGGGTTAAACCCAAAATTATTTTCAAGTTTCACCAACCAGTTTCATTTCAGTCTTAAATCAGAAATCTGCAAACAAATAAGCCGTGCCACTAAAACTGCCGTTCATGCTTGATCTTAGTACTTTGAATGTAAATATTTACCCAGTTACAGCAATAGTGGGATTCAAAGACAAAGGAGGGAGCTTAATCAAACTGCTGTTTTAAGGGGAACATTCAGAAGTCCTATGACCAATGGCACTGTTTTCCTAGTTATTGTATATAAAATAATAATAACAATAAAGCTTTTACAAACTCAAGGCTGCAGTAATATATATATGTATATAAAAAAAAAAAGAAAAAAAGAAAGTACTGATAGATACATGCACTGGCATGGAAAACCAATTAACACATCGAAGGCTAACTTGGAATAAGCTTCAGAACTCTCAATTACCAAAGAAAGAATCACATTTTAAAAAGTATTAGCAGTTACACTGAGGGGCTGTAGTTCCTGCTATAACGTCAGGCGGCATCATCACACACCCTAGGCTAGGACATCCGAGGTGTTTATTTCCAATTTTACCAAAGAGAGAAAACAACACGGCACAATGAGAAAGTTACCTGATATTTAAGTGCAGTCTGAGTGACATTTACATGTGATTCTAACAACGTTCAACAGTACAAAACAAAACGCAACACACATACACAGAAGCGCTAATTCACTCACATTAAAAAAGAACGGCATAGTAAGCACTCCATTTATAAATTGATAGTTTGTTAAAGAAAAGGAAACCACGTTTCACAGAAAGAAGTCTCTTGGGCTTTTCCAAGTGGGTAGTGGGTAGACAAGGTAACTCTTGATGCACCTCATTTGGCCCTGGGCATTTTGAGCACTACCAGCACTACCCAAAACAGGCATAAGGATTTGACAGATCATAGTCAGCTGTAGTAGAACCGCACACCGGAACTCGGGATGTAGTTTGGAAAGCAATGGCCTTTTGGCCTTTACAACCACCAGAAAGCGAAGTTACTTTCCCCAAGTGAAGACCCGGAGCGCAGCCAGGCAGCAGCACAGGCGGCCCGGAGAGGCGGCCCCGGTCCCTCCGCCGCCGCGCACAGAGCGCGAGCCTC